TTAAAGTCTTTATCGATTCTTCAAGCTCCGTTATACTTTGTTCATTGAGTGATCACCAGTGATTGGAGTTCTACTGGTTCTTCAGTGGAATTACTCCTTTGATTAGTAGAAGGGGCTGGATTAGATTGAGAATGAGAAGGTGGCGGTGAGATTGATGAGGCTGAAACTGCAGGACCTTCCTTAGCTTCTTTCTCTGATTCCAGTAGCTAAAAGAATATAAACAAGTGATGTCCAATAAATCTTATCATGATTCAGATATGAAAGTTCTTGCAGAGTATGCATCATTCATGTAGTGTAGTGTATATTTATTTTGCTTTTAAGATCACTTACTTTACCAAGCTTCTCTTCAGCTTTGTAAGCACGGGTCTTGTATCGATTGATCTCTCCCTTCAATTGTTGAATGTTCTTTTGAAGGCTACCAACCATTTCTTGTAGTTCTCTATATCATTAATAATAAATTATTAGTTGCACATAATTATTACTTTGCTATAGGGGCTGCTTGATCATTAGCAGCTATTGTTTGTTCATGCTCAATCTTTAATAGCTCATAGTCGTGTTGGACTGTAGCCAAACTTGTCTCTATCCTTGACATCTCATCTCTTACTTCACTCTGATAGTTTAACTCCTCTTGCCTGAAAATGAAAAGAAGCCATAACAACTTATAAAAAAATTATACAAGCAAAAACCCATTGGTTCCATTGTCACGAAATCCGTGACAAGCAAAAACCCATTGGTTCCATTGTCACAAAATCTGTGACAAGCAAAAACCCATTGGTTCCATTGTCACGAAATCCGTGACAAGCAAAACACCCATTGATTCCATTGTCACGAAATCCGTGACAAGCAAAAACCCATTGGTTCCATTGTCACAAAATCTGTGACTATCAAAAACCAATTGGTTCCATTGTCACAAAATCCGTGACAAGCAAAAACCCAGTGGTTCCATTGTCACGAAATCCGTGACAAGCAAAACACCCAGTGGTTCCATTGTCACTATAAATCAAGAACTTTTTGAGCAACTTCAAAAATTCATAAAAATTCAGATTTGATCGGAATCAGTTCAAACTTTCTACACAACATAAGTACCGTATTTCCTTAAATAAAAGCCCGGGCGTCTATTTCCTAAAATGATACTTGGACCTCCAAAAAATATATAAAAAATAAAAAAACTTTGGCCCAGAGCGGGATTCGAACCCGCAGCCTCAAGCTTTTGACTTTTGGAACTTCAGGCATTGCCCACTAGACTACTGAGTCACTCCTAGGCTGGTGTTGCGTATTTATAGTTTAATTGTATTGCTACCCCGGCGTTTATTCGAATGCGGCTTCTATTTAAGGAAATACGGTACATGTATATGCATTAGAAAAAATTATAAAAATGAAGAATTCTCTTCTAGCCATTTTTGAAAAAATACAACCGTACATGGTCATTGGGATGACAGTAACATTGATATTGATAATTAACCTTATTTCTTCCAGTTGCATGATGTGCTGTGTCTTTGCTGTGTTAAGAAGCTTCCTTGCTTCTT